TCAAATACATTTATAAATAATTTAATGAATATTTAAGTATTTTGTCAAAGACAGATACATGCTTTTTGCAAGCACATGCATAAATACTCATACATATTTCCTATTTATCATTTCCGGCATGTGCAAATCTTTAATTTCTGTGCATTCACTATATTTTTCGTGTAAAGTAATTTACACTAATTTAGCATACACCCGAAAGTTTTACATAAAAAATATATATGAATATAATTTGAATGAAAATTATAAGTATTATTTTTAATACCCACTCAAAGGTCAGTTTTTCTTCAAAATTCCTCCACGATGGCATCTCTCTCTTTAGGCAGATAGCCCTTGCATGCGTTACTCTATTTAATAAAAGCTTAATCTGACCTATGTGCCTAATTACAAATATTTTAACATACACAATTTTATATTTACATTTAGCCATCAAGTTTCAAACTTTTCAAATCTTCTAGAAAATAAATTTTGGCAGATCTCTTTTAGCAATTTTCTTAAAAATCTATATTTTTGTAGTGCAACAGCTTAGAATTTTATAAAACAAATTCACAATCAAAATCGCTGTTGTTAGTTATCGAAAAATAACCAAGATGTGATTTTTGCGTAAATGTCAGTAAACTATACAAATTGCTATTATCCATCACACTATGAATGTTTCATGCGAGAGTGTCCCTTTTTCGATTTCTATGGAACTGTCGTGTGTCGAAATACTATCAGAATCTTGTCAAGTGAGCTTCTGAATGTAAACAAAGAACACCCTGTCTGGTGACCCAAGCTTCAAAGCAGTGCTTCACTTCTAGCACGGAATGGCCCCTCCTCCCTTTCCTACCTCCATGGGCTCGCGTCGGCGAGGAGTCGAACAAAGAAATGAGCTAGCCCTTCTATTTATCCCTGGCTAAAATAGAAGTCCGGATCAAAGAAAGTCTATTCTTTGTCCGGATCCTTGTTCCACGCTGGAGATGGCCTCCGGAGGGTTAGATGTACAGACCATCCTGTCGGAAGGGCTACCTTGGACGAAAATTGGAGCCTGACCTCGTCGTTGATGTTATCTTTTGTTGATTTTATTTATTTCGCTTACCTCTTTCTTTTCTTTTCAACAGATATGCTGAAAACCAGCGTAAGGATGTCTATAGAACTAAGTGTGTTCTATAGTCTATAGTTTAGTGTCCGCAATGCAGCGCGGAGGATGAAAGTTCAGACGCCTATCATGACGCCAACTCACGTGATTTTCACGGACCCAGAAGAGGATTTAAAATAGACCTTTTTATTAGTTCTTCAGTATAAAAATTTAGGCAGCTAATTGTACAGCAGAAGAAGTCAACTATTTAGAGGTAAACTTGGAAGGCTAAAGACTTGGAAGGCTAAAGCCGATCCAAGTCAATTTAGAAGCTGCTCAAAATTAGTACTGAGACGAAAAGAGGAAATTAAAAACTTTCTCATCACTCATAATATTGACATAATGCTTCTCAACGAAACCCATCTATGGAAATCACATCGAATCAACTTCCCCGGGTATCGGAAAATCCGCGACGACAGAATTCACAACAGAGGTGGCGGTACTGCTATCATTATTAAAAATTACCTCCGTTTCGCTAAATATGGATCGTTTCGATATTACCTAACACAGGCAATATCGAAAAAACAGCTGCAATAATTTATAGTGGACTGAATGAAGCGTATTTATTCATCTCAGTTTACAATCCCCCTGGCAATAGACTTAACGATACCGATCTAAACAATCTCACTTCTGCCAATTTTCCAACTTTAATTGCGGGTGATCTCAACGCTAAAAATCAAGCATGGAATTCAAGATTTAACAATACTAATGGAAATTTCCTGAATAACTACCTCCTTAATCAAGACCTTAAAATTGTCGCGCCATTCACCCCCACAAGAATTCATCATGATGGCACCGGGGACATCCTAGATGTATTACTTCTTAAAAATATTAATCAAACTCCACATTTGGAAGTCACTTATGACCTAAATTCGGATCACCTGCCAGTCACTTTTGACTTCTATGGATTTTATCACCCATTAAAAAAACAACTCATCAAAACCAACTGGAATCTTGTCAACAATTTACTTCAAAATTATACCTGCAATAGTCATTATCCTCATAGCTATGCAATTGAAAAAGAAATTCATAAATTTACTACAACTATCCAAAATGCTATTTCCAACGCTACGTACTCAGTTAAAGAAAATAAATCTCAAACCCTTCCTACTCAGATCAAAAACACAATCAAGCTCAGAAACGAAGCTATTAAGACCTGGCATCAGTCAAGAAATCCAAATGACAAAAGACATCTTAACTATCTAAATCGTAAAATCAAGTCTGATATTCAAGAGTACAGGACTCAAAAATGGGACCACCTTCTCGAAAATTTAGAACCGAATCACGAAAATGTCTGGAAAATCGCACGCTCACTCAAAAACAATACCAGCTATACCCAGCATGCAATAGAACATTCAGGAACCAACTATTACTCGGATCAAGACATTGCTGACCTCATGGCCGAAGAACAGGAAAAAATCTATAAACCCCTCCCTGCTATCAATTCGGAAACAGAAGATGAAGCTAACGAGGCAATCAACTTCATACGCAATTTCACTCCTCAAAGGCACATCCAGTTTACTTCTCCTAAGGAGATTAAAAACATAATCAAAAATCTTAAGCCAAAAAAAGCGAAAGGTTATGATCAAATTAATAACGAAACACTTAAAGCTCTGCCTAATAAATGTATAACTAATCTATGTAATATTATTAATGGATGTATCAGACTGTCTTACTTCCCTCAACAATGGAAGCATTCAATAGTTATTTTCATTCTCAAACCGGGCAAAAACCCAAAGGATGTCAACAGCTACCGACCCATCAGCCTTCTGCCTGCTATGGGAAAAATATATGAAAAAATTCTTAACAACAGACTTACTGACTTCCTTGAAAACAATGACATAATAGATCATCTGCAATTTGGATTTAGGAAAGGCCATTCAACCACACACCAAGTCCTTAATCTTGTTGAAACCATAGCTCTTGCTTTTCAGAAAAAAAGTGCAGTTGCCGCATGCTACCTCGATTTTGAGAAAGCTTTTGATCGAGTGTGGCATGCTGGGCTAATTCTAAAGCTCATTGATCTAGAAATACCCAAAAATTTAGTCAAAATCATCTTCTCTTTTATACGAAACAGAACTTTCCAAGTCCGAATCGGTAGTACCCTCTCAAAAAAGAAAAGGATGTTTTGCGGCGTCGCTCAAGGTAGTGTTTTGAGCCCAAAACTTTTCAATATCTATATTAATGATCTTCCACAACCACCTAATTCCAAAGTGCTCAAATATGCCGATGATGCAGTAGTCCTCTCAGAATCAATAAAACCCCAACTTGCCATAAATAATCTTCAAATGTACGTTAATAATATTGCACACTGGTGTTCTATCTGGAAAATTAATCTCAACGCTCATAAATGTAATACTGTTCTCTACAGAAGATATAAGAAACTGCAAAATGTCAACACTGAACTTAAAATCAATAACATTCCTATCCCACATAGTGACGCATATAAATATCTGGGTGTATATATTGATAAACAACTAAACTTCAAAAACCACCTTCAGTACATTGCAAATAAGGGGAATTCTGCATACATGGCTATTTATCCACTTATTGGGCGAAACTCCAAACTTAATTTGCACACTAAAAAGGTATTATATACTTCTCTCATCCGACCGATCCTAACATATGCCGCCCCTGCTTGGGCTATCGGCAATAAGAATGAAAGAAAAAAGATCGGGATTTTGCAAAACAAAATATTACGATCAATTACAAACGCGCCCTGGTTTGTCAGGAATAAAGATATTCAAAAAGATCTTAAAATCCCTGATCTTATGGATCACATTCTCACTATATCCCACAATTTCTTTGAAAAAGTTAGGAATAGTGAATACCAGGCTATTCAGAACATCATTGATTATGACCCTACTATTGAATACACGGTCAAACGACCGCGTACTATCCATCACAATCCAAGATGGTAATTTTAAACTTGTAAATAGTGTATATATTTTTTCCATTTATCCAAGAATTCATTTATTCAAGTTTACTTTTTGTTATTTAAAATTTCATTTAATTGTACATATCATGTGACCACTCTGGTCAAATTAGAATTTTGTAAAAAAGAACTTCTATGATTTGCTGATCCACATCACGTGGTTCTCCACTTGCTGCTAACAATTCTGAGTGCTCCTCCCTCATTCAGGGAGTGGATGCCGAGGTAGTAGGACTGCTTTTTCTGACCTGACCATTATGCCGCCTGACTACACGAGATCTGAGATCATTGCCGTTTTAAATTGCTTCTAATGCCAATTGCTTATCTCCTTTTCATCTAAAATTGCAGGATTAAATCCTGTAAATTTTCGCCTCTGTGCGGGTGTTCATACACCACTATTTCTTCTACTAACCGGCTGTATAGCATGACGCAAACTGAATGGATTAAGGCTCTTAGTAGCCAAGGCCATTTTTGTGAAAGGAATAGATTAGATTAGATTAGTACTGAGACGATTGCCAGGCGCTGCCAAAAGCTCACTTCTATAACAAATATAAACAGTACGCCTTTATGGATCTTCAGTTGGTACAATATAATACAATGCAAATAAATTCTTACTATAAAATAAAAAGATTACCATATCAACATCAAATATAATTTATTTATTCACTAGCTCAGTAGTCAAAAATCTCATCTTCTATATTTTAATAAACAAATCGAATTCCAAAGATAAAAACTGTTGCCAAAAACGATAATACAATAATATGCAAAGTAAACATCTATAATTATTAAAGCATTATGTGTATTAAAATATTGTGAGTTACTTTCAAACTAATTATTTATATTTTATGCCGTTACATTCACTCCCCTTCTAGTAACGAACGTTACGTTAGAAAGATTGGAAGAAGTAATAGTGCATCATCAAAATAATAACAAAATTCATGTATAAATAAAATATCAGTTTTTGAATCGCAATGGTGTCTTAAGAATTCTACCAGTTCGAGATTGTCTTAAAGCTGATTTGATTTTAGGTTGAGCCACAGTTAATGTGGTTTGAATTTCAATCGGCGTAGATGCATTGTTTACACAATTTGAAGTTGTAGGTTTCTCTTGTTCAGGGGTTTGTTGTGGTATAATATATGCTGGCTTCAATCTGTCTATCGATACATTTACTTCTTTATTCTTTATCCTGAGAGTAAAATATTTGGGTGAACGATTGATAACCAAATACGGACCTTCATATGGGGGTTCGAGTTGCTTCCGAACTCTGTTAATGCGAAGAAAAACATGGGATGTTGATTCTAAATCTTTGTGTACAAATAATTTAGGGATACCTTTCTGTTGTATTTCCTTCGGCCGAATCAATTCCATATGCTTTTGTAACTTATGTATAAAAGTTCCAGGTGGTGTATGACTTATTTTTTCTTCAAAGAATTCTCCAAGAAGTTTAATATTCTCTCCATATACCATTTCCGCTATAGTATAGTTAGTATCATTGCGGATTGCTGTTCGTAGGCCTAAAAGAACCGTAGGTAATGTTTCACTCCAAATTTTATTATTATGGGCTTTTAAAGCAGCCTTTATTGATCTATGGAGTCGTTCTACCTTGCCGTTGCACTGCGGGTGATAGGCTGTAGTGTGTGAAAGCTTAATGCCGCAGATTCCTGACAGGGTTTGAAATACTTCAGATGAAAATTGACTTCCTCGATCAGTTATTAGATGCAAAGGTATTCCAAATCTTGCTATCTAATTGCTATAGAAAGCGTTCGCTACAGTTTCTGCTGAGATGTTTTCGAGCGGAATAGCTTCCATCGAATTTGTGTGTCTATCTATACATGTTAGACAGTAGGTGTTACCATTTGATGGTGGTAATGGACCAATAAGATCAAAGTGTATTTCTCGAAATATTTCTGATGGCTTTAGATATTCGCCGATTATTGATTTCGTATGCCGGAATATTTTAGGTTTTTGACATGGAATACATGATTTCGTCCAATGCTGAACATCGTTTTTGATATTTAGCCAAATAAATTTTGAAGAGATTAATTTTACTGTTGATTTGATTCCAGGATGGGATAATCCGTGAAACTGATGAAATATTTTCATACGATAACTCTTGGGTATATAAGGTCTAACATGCTGTGTTGAAGTATCACACCATAATCTTTTTCCAGATGGAAGGGAAAACTGTTTAAAAGTCAAATTTGTAGATTTCCGCAATGCTTTAAATTTGTCATCTCGCTCTTGTTCTTCGGCAATTTCGTCATAATTTATTAAGGCGATTTCTTCTATTCTGGATAATGTAGCCGCTACTACGTTATTCTCTCCTGTTGTTAAGTTAGAATACAGCGCCACCTATTGGATAAGCAGAGAAACTCTCACTTGGCCATCTGGATTCGGCTAAGCAACATGCCAGAGCATGTATTAGATCTGAATAGTTAATTACTGTAAATAAATTAGTTCTTTTGCTATACAGTCTACTAATTAGTTTAGAATCATAGTACACCTGTAATGTACCTAATGTCTGTTGTAAATTGTGAAATGTATTGGAGTTGCCTAATTTGTCTTGGAGATGCTTTACCTGGTTTTTGTGAAAATGCATATATTAAGGGTTTGTGGTCAGTATACACTATGAATTTTCGTCCTTCTAATAAATGTTTGAAATATTTAATGGAAAGATAAATTGCGAGAAGTTCACGATCATATGTACTGTAATTTTGCTGTGTAGCGTTTAGTTTCTTGGAAAAAAAATCCGATTCGTTTCCAACTACCATTTTCAAATTGTTGTAAAACTGAACCGACTGCGGAATCCGAAGCATCTGTGCACAACGAAAAAGGTAAGTCTGGATCGGGGTGACAGAGAAGAGCAACATTTGCTATAGCTTGTTTACATTCTTCAAACTTCTCAATTGCCTCCTCCGTTCAAGTTATTTTCCGATTATCTCTTTTCTTTGCGCCTTTTAGGTAGTCGTGTAAAATAGCTTGAGTACTAGCGGCGTTTTTCAAGAAACGACGGTAGAAATTAATAATTCCGAGAAAGGTTCGTAGTTGATGAACAGTGTCAGGCAATTTAACATTCAGAATAGCTTTTACTTTGTGAGGAAGAGGTTTTGATCCCTCAGGTGTAATTAGAAAGCCTAAAAATTCCAATTCACTGACTCCAAAAACAGATTTAGAAATATTAAGTCTCAATCCATATTTTGTAATCTATCAAAAACCAATCTTAAATGCTTTTTGTGTTCCTGTTCATTATTTGACGCAATTAAAACACCATCCAAATATGGAAAAACAAAATTTAGTCCTCTAAATACTTCATTAATAAATCTCTGAAAGGTAGAAGGGGCGTTACGTAACCCAAAACTCATGACGTTAAATTCATATAGTCCGAAAGGAGTTACAATGGCAGTTTTTGGCTTATCATTTTCATGAATAGGAATTTGAAAATATGCTTTATGCAAATCAATTTTAGAAAATATTCGAGTATTTTTTAAGATGTGGTTGAAATCTTCTAATCGGGGTATAGGATAACGATCTGGTATTGTTTGTGCATTCAAACGTCGATAATCCCCGCAAGGTCGAAAAGAACCATCTTTTTTTGGAACCATATGAAGAGGACTGGCCCATTGTGATTTAGAGGGACGAATATATCATTTTCTAACATATATTGGAATTCCTGTTTTGCTATTTGAATCGTTTGGGATCCAGTTGTCTAGCTCTGGTATAAACAGGTTGTCCTCTAGTTGTAATATAATGCTCAACACCATGCTTAAATGTTGATACTGATAAATTCGGTTTTGTTAAATATAGATATTGTTGTAACACATTAGCGTATTTAGAATTTTTATCTAGAGTACTAATAGCATGATCGGAAAACACTGTTGTTACATTACTTCGAACAGATAGGTTAGTTATTCCATCAAATTAATTTCTTATTGTGAATGTCAACTAAAAGTTTAAATTTATTTAGAAAATCAGCTCCTATAATAGCTTTATCAACTTTAGCTAATATAAACGGAAGTTGAAATTCTCTTCTAAGTCCTAAATTTAAAGTTAAAATTTTAATTCCATAAGTAGGAATTTCCGTTCCATTAGCTGCGTATAATTTAAAATCATCTACTTTTGTAGTACATTTAGTCGCAGGAATGAGACTAACATCAGCACCTGAATCTACTAAGAACCGCAGTCCTGTGTTTTTGTCTTTCACAAATAAACGAAACTTGCGGCTGTCGTTGATACCAGCAACAGTAGTAGCCGCTAATCCTGTTGCCGTATGGGGTTTTCCGACTTCTCTGGCCAAGCATATGGCGAATAACATTTCTCAGGTCGACAACGGTCACCAAACTTAAAATGAAAAAAGCAATATTTACCTTTCGGATTAAATCTCCTTTTCAAACGGCTACGACTCCGAGATGTATTCCGGTGATGATATCTAAATCTTGGTCTAGAACGATTACTTATTTGCATTGAGTCAATTTTTTGTTCTAAGGCAGCTATTCTTGCAAATAGAACATCATTAACGTTTAGCGAAACAGCATAAATTCCTTTTCCAGACTTCATATCATGAATTTTGTCAGCCACCATGGACAATTTTTCTAAATTTTCGTCACTGAGGAGAAGAATATTCTTTATAAAATCAGGCATTTATCCAACCATAAAGATTTTAGAACTTTTTCAGGAAAATCATCTGCGGCTAGACTTTTCATTTGCAGCAAAAGTTGACTTGGTTTATAATCTCCGAGATCTAATCCAGTTATCAAACGCTGAATTCTCTTATTTTCACCTTCTTTGAAAACATTTAAAAGTCTTTCTTTCGCCATAGAATATATATTAGGCTTAGCGTCTTTAATAACGTCCCATATATTTTCAACATACTTCGGTTCAACCTGGGATATCAAATAGTTGAATTTAGTCTCTTCAGTCGTGATTTTATTTATTTCAAACTGGGCTGTCACTTGGAAAAACCAAATGTCGGGTTTTTCACGCCAAAACGGTGGAATTTTAATGCTTACTTTATTCGCTTCGGCATCCATTAACGCAGTTGCTTCTGTTACTTTTTCTGTAACCATGTTAAATAAACAATTCGAACGCTTCTGAGTCACCAAATATAACAAATATAAACAGTACGCCTTTATGGATCTTCAGTTGGTACAATATAATACAATGCAAATAAATTCTTACTATAAAATAAAAAGATTACCATATCAACATCAAATATAATTTATTTATTCACCAGCTCAGTAGTCAAAAATCTCATCTTCTGTATTTTAATAAACAAATCAAATTCTAAAGATAAAATCTGTTGCCAAAAACGATAATACAATAATATGCAAAGTAAACATTTATAGTTATTAAAGTATTATGAGTATTAAAATATTGTGAGTTACTTTCAAACTAATTATTTATATTTTATGCCGTTACACTTCTATATTCAAGAAATCTGTTCTTATATAAAAATAAAAATTGAAATTCTCGTTCCTAATGTTCTTAAAATTCTATTAACTTAATTTTTCAATTTCCTTTACTATTTCTGCTGACAGATGGCGCTACCTTCTCGTTCGCTTTACATCTTCTGAGTAGAAACATAACCATGACTTTCCCCTACTTTTCCATCTAGATTTCTTTGTGTGAAAGGATTTTCGACAATCGTGTTTCAGATTTCTAGGTTGATTTGAATCTTTGCATTTTATTTTGAAATAAATTAGCATCATATCCTCAGTAAATAATTAACTTAATTACTAGAATATTTCTCTCTTTTATCTGAGTTACTTAAATTGAAGGAAGATGTGCAACTTTACTGGATCAGAAATTCTAAGGTAAACTCTGGGCAAACATGGAGTTTTACAATAATGTTCTGAATATTCAGAAATATGTTGTAGAAGAGCGTTTCATATTATCTTGATGAAACTGGAGTATGTTTCTACCTGAAATGAAGGGAAAAATAAAAGCCATTGGGATGCTTTAAGAAGGAAAATTTATAGTCCAAATTGTTAAATGATTAAAACACTTGTGATTCGATTGCAGACTATGGTAAACAATACGTAGCTTCTGATTATCAATAAAATATTTTTTCACGTTTTCAGTAACTCAGTAGTTCATAACGGAAAATTCAAAAGCAAAATGTCAAAAATGTTTAACAAGCCTTTTAATGTTTAGTAATGGAATTTCTATCATAAATAAAATAACACAGTTTACATAATTTACTTTGGATTTATTCCCATGATCACCACTGCGTTAATTCAATTCGAATGTTTAATTTAACAGAAGAGATAACGGGAAAGCATAGTTTGTATGCAATTGAAATCGGCGGACTAGATGTACATAATTTAGCATGCGTAATTCTACCACAAAATTAATTTCCGATTACTCTGTCGAGCTCATTGCAGTACGGTCTAAATATGTGGATAGTCTGTTGCTTTGTAACATATTTATTGAATATTTTGAGTATGTACTTCAGAGGTTTGGTAAGTGTA